TATTTCTAGGATGACAAGAGCTATTTTCTTTAGTTTTGTCTTCACTGAAAAATGTTTGACAATTAAAAACAGGGACGGGTTGTCCAAGCTAAAAAAAAAAAACTTTCTTTTTTATTTCCAAGATCATACCCCCCCCCCCCCCCAAAAAAAAACACGCATGCACATGCCAAACAGGAATGAAATGTTTGTTCCTTTTTTAATTTCTTTCAAAACGCTGGACAGAAATTTTGATTTACATAAATTTCAAACTATTCCGAAATTGAAATTATTTGTCTTCTGGGGCAATCATTAACACCGTGATTCTAGCGTAGCTGAGGAGGATTGAAAATGAATTTCAAACTAGAATTTCAATCCAATGTTTTCTCGGACGTCGATCCCTGACGAATTGTACCCGTCTATCATTAAATGTTTTGATTGTAACAGATGGAAATGACGTAAGCTGCATATTTCCAATTTTGCCAGTTAATGTTCCGCGGTCTTAAGAGGTACAAATGTATTTAAATGATTAAAATGGGTCATTATGTTACCAATGCAGGATCATGAATTTGAATATGTACATGTTATATTTAAAATGATTATTGCGGACATGATTGATCGCTTTAATTATGCTAATATAAGTGCTTTTGAAAAATGGTAGAAAAGTAAATATACCTCAAATGTAGTTGACTTTGTTTTACACCTACTTGTAGAAAAACGACATAAATAGAAATGACTCTTTATGATAAATATCATTGCTTATTATGAATATAAAAGAAAACTTACATTTTCAAGCTAAGTTATGTAATAAAGATAAAATCCAGCTTAGAGGCAGCATGAATCGATTGTGAGGATGACACATATTGATATTACTAGGGAAGAACCTTTGAATCTTCTCAATACCCATTTTCACATTTTTTTTAAAGCGTAGTATGAAGGAATTGACAGCTTAACAAAAATTACAAATTGAAGTAATTCAGATACTTGTTTATTTGATCATTTTCATTTTATTGCACTAATACATATAATCAATACATGTAAGCAAGCCAAACATATTATTGCATATACATGTATATAGGATTTTGATTTTTTTTCTTTTGAATTTCAAATTAAGAAATTTAAATTTTTTTTTCTTTTGAATTTTACATTAAAGATTTTTTTAACTAACATAAGGCGGGGGAGGTCCAACAACATTCGTTAATAAATGAGACTTTTCATTTAGGTGACAGGTTAACCACTTTTCACAGCGCTTTGTACATTGATGTGTATCAAAGAAGTTTTTAACGGCTACCCGGATGTCTGTTTCACAGCCTTCTGATGAAAAAATTCCAGTAGATGGCGAGGCAAGTTGTAGTTTAGGTTCACCGTTTACCCTAATTTGTTGACCCTTTATACCTCGGAGAAGACTGGTTCCATTGGAATCTTGGTAAGAAAAATGACAGAGTTCTTGAATGATTTGTGGACATTTCTCTGTGACGATGCCTTCACACGTCACGAAGTAGTCAAGTCTGCCCTTAATGAACGGTTCAAACAAAACGAATTCTTCGCTGGACAGTTTCCTACAATCGGACAGAGTATTTGTAAGCAAAGACACTTCGTCCATTACTGCTAGATGTAATTCTGGAAATCTAATTGTCACATTACACATTTTTGAGAACTTTCTAGCAATAACATGGGCCGTTTGTGATTCCTCTATGTATTTTTCCAACCTCTCCTTCGAACCTTTTCCGGTTGAATCAAATTTAACAGCTGCTCTTTGAATGTCATTGCAACAAGAATGCATTTTACCTTTGTAAATAATGAATTTCTTTCCCCGTTTTTTCGGACGAAAGTCAAAATTCGCAGATTTTTCACATGTACATCCACTCCGAAGCAAGGACGGTAGGGTTTCGTTATTCATGCTGGAATATATATCTGAAAGTAAAATAAGTATAAGTTTAAAATACAGTTAGTTATAGTAAGATATGAATTCATTCTCATGTACGCTAAGAGCAGTGATTGAATACAATGCAATATTGAGAATAAGATAATTATTTAAATTCAAAAGATGACAATGAAAGAAGTCTTGCTTAAACGTTAATGTATTGAGAACCAAAAATAGAATTAAATGTTTGTAAACAGGCCGATCGCGTTGAAAGTTTATTAACAATTTGAACCTTTAAAGGAGATACTTTGCGGGTAAAATGAACACGTATTAATATTACCTAAGTATGATTCCTTTTAATCTGTGTTCTATCACAACATCACATTGTAAAATGACATCCGAGGAGAACTGTTTATATAAATTAATAAATACTAACGTCGGTTTCATATAAACAAGACTGGATTTCCCAGTATATTAACGCTATAAATAAAATAGGATTTTACACATCCTTTAAAAATATATATATTTAATCTTATAGTGACCGAGATTTTATACACTTGATAAATTTAAAGTCGAGTCATTGAAGTCGAGAAATCTAATTTTAAATGATAAGCGTAGAAAACAACATTATACATCTTTAGGCCCTGAATGTAATGCGGCACCCCTTCTGGAGTCACATTGTCCACCCGACCGTCTGTCCGTCAACACATTAATTCTGTCGGTATAATGCAGACAGTTTTCATAAATACTTCACAATAAAAAAAGAAATCATCTGGGGTAATATCACTTTGTCGTACTGTTTGTTTTTGTGTATCTTGACACAACATGTATAGTTTGATATAAGAAGATGGGGAGCGAAATGCCTTTAGTACGACAAACATGGAGGTGAAAAATTAAATCTCAATTATAACAATTTTTTCTTTGATATTTCATCTTATATTAAAATATTCTCTACGTAAAATCTCCACAATTTGCAAAAATATTAATCTCACAAAGATTGAAATTATTTGCTTATGAATTTGCATACACACACTAAAGAAGGATAAAAGGATAATTTTCTCAGGCTATAACACAATTTTTCGATATGCGTGGGTCTTCGCTCCATTTTTTGGTTAACAAAAACATGGAGCAAAGACCCACTATACCGTAAAAAAAATACACTTTTAAGACACAACATTCGCATCTTTCCGAGATATACTTAAGTCCATTTAGTCGAAGGTAATATGACAAATATGATTTAAATGCCGCTATTTATCAGGAGCTGCATTACTTCACTTGTACATGTACTTTAATTTTTAACTTTAACATGTCTTGTGTCCATTGGCACTTGAAACTCTGGTGCATTATTTTTGTGACATCTAAATGGTATTTTTAGACACTAGCTTAATGTTTTATGGGCAACCCAGCCAACATTATGTGATCCTAGCAAGCTGTGCAGAAGAATTGGGAATGCACTCTACAAATTGTCTTGCATTGAAGTTTAAATTGAAATGAATGAGTTTAAAATTTTAAATACATTACATGTATATGATATAACAAAATCCCAAGTCTCGAGGGACAGTTTTATTAAAGGTTTGCCATTATTATCAGTAAAAGATCCAAAAAATTTATTTGTTTCAAAAAAAAAGGGGGGGGGACTGCAGGAGCTACTAGTCTATCAGTCAGGCTTACTTAATGTGTGTGATTAAACTATTCTGTCTACAAATTTAATGTTGAATAACCTATCTTTTATCATTTTAAAGCAATAAGAAACAAAAACAAGAGGGAACATTTTTACTGACGCTTGTTGATGTTGGACAATTGGAAAAGGAAATTCCAACTGAGGCGCTCTGAAGCATTTATTTTACAAGTTCAATAATGAGTTTAAATATTTACAAGGACGATAAAAAAAACAGTTCGCAAATTAATGAGTTAATCCTAGTCCATAGGCAAAACATTCATTCACTTCCTTCCATAACATCCACGAATTCATAGTCAATTAACTGGGAATATTATAGTGCCAAGTTCTCGGATTTTACTGAAAATTTAACATTTACTGAAATTATCTAATTTCAGTAAATAACGTGTAATAAATAAGCTTGTGTAATATATTTTTTGACCATTTCTATCAAAATTTGAATATACCCAGTAAATGAAGTTGGGCTTTACTCCAATTATTGTTAAAGAGCCTTGAGATTTGGGCTATTTAGGAAGAAACCATCATGAAATCGGAATAAAGACCCAATTTCTGAAGTCAGACGAAATCCAGTAAAGAACAGATGAAAGTAATCTAGATTTTTTTTTAATAACGTTTTATATTTATCCCACATCACATTTAAACAACATCTTATTGAGAAAACTGAATGAATTGGGCAATAGGCATTGCAAGAGCTATCTGAACATATGATATGGCACCCGTATTGTTATCTGCATTTCATTCACTTCATTAATTGTATATGTATGCCTTGACTGGTATGAATAGGGTATTCATAGGCATTGCAATGGAATACCTATGAATACCCTATTCATACAATGCAATACCTTTGAATATCCTATTCATACAAAAAGTCAAGGTAAACATATACAATGAACTGACAGAAAAACAGATAACAATACGGGCGCCGTATCATATGTGCACATATATAGAAGTTCTTACTCCTTTAATTAAACTTGTAATGTGTGATAACAAAGTCCCCAGTTCGTCAGGAGTTTATTTTTGTGCTAATTTATAAGGGACATTTGAATTCATTCGAATAACTTTTATTAACATTGGAAAATGGTTTGCACCATACAACGGTTAACAGTTTTTCGCTTGTTTTATTTATGTATAAGCAACAATGATAATATTGTCCTCACTCTTTTGCATTAAAGAATTTTATTATTCTTTGATGTTTATGTATTCAATTTATGGAAATTAAGTATGCAGTGCTTACATACAAGAAAGACTGTTGAAGTTGTAATCAATATTTTTAATTTAAAAAAAAAACATAAAGCAAGCAGGCAAGTATAAGCAAATATAAGTATCAACGATAAAAAGAAAAAAAAACAATTCTATACTTTTCGACAGTTAAACAAAAAATACTCACAACTGCACAGATATTTCTCAAAGTAAAGCACCGTTATTTAACTATTAAAAAAAACAAAATTACAACTTTCTCTGTACAGAAGTTTAAACATGGTATTATCTTGTAGCAAAATCAATGCTTTCATATGGTGGGGGAGGATCTGAAAATGAGTTGTCAAACTGGTGCTCGGACCTTGATGAATGCACTTGACTGGGAACCAGCCATTTATTACAGCGGCTTGTACATGTGTGGACTGAAAAGAAATTAGTAATGGCGCACGGAATTTCATCTGCAGAGCATTTCTCTGGAAAATATTTCGTGGCAGGTGATGCAAGACGAAAACTTTTTCCATTTTTCTCCCAAGAACCCTTCAAGCCCCTAAGAATATTATCCCCGTTTGATTGGTGAAATGAAAAATGGCAGAGTTCCTGAATGACTGCGGGGCAAACCTTTGTAACAATCCCTTCTCTGGTGACAAAGTTTTGGAGATCTTTTACGTACGGCTCAAACAAAACGAATTCATCGCCTGATAGCTTCCGGCAATCCCCGGGAATGAATGTGTCAAAGATAGCAACAGTGTCCATTTCTGCAATATGGATTTCAGGAAAATGAACAAATATACTACATAGTTTTGAAAACTTGTTTGCAAGATCATGTGCAGCTTGCGAAGCAATAATGTAGTCCGGGAGATCCTCCTTTGACCCCTTTCCGTTCGCGGTAACTTTTACGACTGCTGTTTGAATATCTTTGCAGCAAGAGTACATTCTCCCCTTATAAATATTGAAATTGTTTCCTTTTTTCTTTCGTTTGTAATAAAAACTAGCAGTTTTACCGCAATTACAATCGCTGTATTCTGTAGAAATTAACGTTTTATTGTCCATTGTGGTTCAAAACGATTAAAAGATTAGCCTCCTTTTTATCAAAGTTTGGCAGTTTACCTGATTTTACTAGGACCTTACCGCTTTCTGGAACACTATAAATATTGATATCTTGAGTTACAATTCCATATTATACTTTTTGAACTTGGAATTTCCTATTGGATAGGTTTTCTAAGTAAGATTGATATTTTCGGTTAAAACATTTTTTTTAAGCAAACGTTCATAAGACAGAGCCATGATATACTGCGTTCTAGTGTTAAAATGCTAAAAAAGAATTTTAAAAATAGATTTCTCGCTTATCGCCAGTTGACGTAATTTTACCTAGAAAGGAAGATTTAGATAAGAAAAGCTTTAAAGATATCTAGATTTTGTCAGATGATGTGGTTTTATTCTGAACAATCGGAATAAGACAGCATGTACATCTTAATTCTTTTTTTAAACTTATCTGTAAATGAGGTGGTTTCATAATTAGACAATTAAGGCACGCAATTTTTATCAAAAATAAATCAATAGGATATTGCAATCAAGTTTCATGAATACGATTTAATTTCAACTGGAATTGTTGTGTCCTTTCGATAAATTCATAATTATAATATATTTATTTTGCAATAGATATCAAGTAAAAATTTTGCACAAAATATTAATTTTAGTAACAAAATAAGTTTCATACTTTCATAATTAGTACTAACAAAGTTACCAAGTTAAGTAATACGTCGGCGCACCTGCTCCCAAATTTCGGTATAAATAGATCGTCTTCTATTACGACAAATATTTCATGCTGTAAAGCTAAAAATCTTTTCATCCAAGTATATCTCCCCCTTCTCTCACTCTCTAAGTCTTGGTATAAGTTATATTTAAACATTTTACATATTTTCAACTTTTAAGTCCTCTATTACTGTGTGATTAATGCTACTACCCATTCTAATTCACAACGATATATGAAAAATGTGTTCATTAAAATTTTATTCAATATTAATGTTGATTTCTTTCAGTTTCCCAAGCTGTCACATCTATGTAACACCAGAGTAAAGTTGAAAATATGTCGAACACTCCAGGGCCAAAACATTCAATTTCATAAATTTTGATTAAGCATTGCATCAGTTTTAAGAAACTTGATGCTTAACATTTTGTTCATTGAATTTAAATAATTATTCACTTTTAAATTTCGATTAAGGATAGTAAAAAAAAATCTTGTACCTAATCCCTTTTCTTTATGACATCCTTAATCTATTGTTGTATATTGGTTTCCAAATAAGTTGATTATAAACTCGGAATAAAAACATATATACTATGGAATTCTCAAGATCAATTGCGTCAGGTCCTATTTGTGCCGTCATTTTGTTTCTCCGTCTCAAGTATACAAAAAACGGATAATAAGATTAGAATAACTTGTGTTGCATGCTAAATTAGATACGTTTAAAAGTTGATATAATAAATGAAGAAAAGTAAATAAAGAAATCCAACAATGGAAATTTATTTTCCAGAAACTGCATTTTATATAATGGAAATATATATTTAAAGTAATTCAAGGCCAAGCCATGTTTTATAAATCGTCTGTGCCAAAAGCTCTTGGTATGATTGTGAATGAGTTTAATATGGAAAAACGCTATTCATTATTACTTAGTTAATAAATTTAATTTCATGTTGTGTGGGAATTTACATTTATGCCCTTTTTAAACATTGTCACAATGGTGAATCATACGGCATGTAGCAAATGACTAATATATGGAAAGATTTATCTTAAAACCTGCTTAATCTCGCAGTGTATGAAGTGTATAAGAACTGATTTTCCTCTGAAATAAAATGAATATTTGATGCACTTAAAATCTATATTTTCTTATACACTTTCAGATTATATATATTAAACTATAACCTTTTTGATATAATAATAGTTATCAAGATGCCAACGGGCAATAACGCTCACCTGAGTAACTTCTTCATCAGCCAATTCTTTTGCCTGTATATTCTTATATAAAATTTTGATAGCCCCATCCTACCCCAGGGGGCCTTGATTTGAACAAACTACCCAAGGATGCTTCTATATTAATATGACTGATCATGGCTTTGCTGCTCATTCTTGAGAAGATTTTTTTTACAGATTTTTTCCTACGTATTTCTTTTTTAAACTTTAATTGCCCGTTGAGGCCCAACCCTACTCCCGGCAGTCATGATTTGAACAAATTTTAATCTACACTATATGCTGATGCTTCCTTATAAACATGACTATTCATGGCATCGCTATTCATTCTTGAGAATTTTTGCTATTCATTCTTGAGAGTTTTTGCCCTGTCCGTCCGGCTGTCTGTCTGTCTGTCTATCTGTCTGTTTGTCCGCAAAAACTCTAAACTTGCCTATAACTTTGGATTGATTAGAGCTATGGCTTTCATATTTCACATGTGCATTCCTTGTGACAAGACCTTTCTTTTGATACCATCATATTTGACCTTGACTTTGGAGTTTGACCCAGTTTATGAGACTTTAACCTTGGCCATAACTTTTGAACAGTTGGAACTTGGGCTTTTAAACTTCACATGTGTATTCCTTGTGATATGACCTTAGATACCAGCAATTTTGATCCTTGACCCCTTGACCATGGATTTTGACCTACTTTTGAAAAAAAACTTTAACCTTAGCCATAACTTTTGAACAGTTGGTGGTAGGGCTTTCATCCTTCACATGAGTATTCCTTGTGACAAGACCTTTCTTGGATACCAACATCTTTGATCCTTTGACCTCGACCCTGGAGTTTGACCTACTTTTGAAAAACTTAAACCTTGACCGTAACTTTTAAACAGTTGATGATAGGGCATTCATACTTCATATGTGCATTCCTTGTGACATGTTCTTCCTTTAGATACCAACAACCTTGACTCTTTGACCTTGACCTTGGAATTTGACCTATTTTTGAAAAATTTTAACCTTGCCTTTAACTTTTGAACCATTGGTGCTAGGGTTTTCATTCTTCACATGTATATTCCTTGTGACAACACCTTCCTTCGGATACCAACCATCTTGGCATTGACCTTGACTTAGGAGTTTGACCTTCTTTCAAAAAACTTTAACCTTGGACATAATATTTGAACGTTTGGTTCTAGGGCTTTCACATTTAATGAACATGTTTATCACTTGTGACAAGACCTTCCCTTGGGCACCATTTCACCTTGACCTTGACGTTTTACTTACTTTAAAAAAAGATTTTTCAATGATTGGTGCTAGGGCTTTCATATTTCACAGGTATATTCCTTGAGACAAGACCTTTCTTTGGGTACCAACTTTTTTTTATCTCTTGGCCTGGAATTTGACTTGCATTTGAGAAACTTTAACCTTCGCCATAAGCTGCGGGGGCATCAGTGTTTCACAAACACTTCTTGTTTTTTACAGATTTTCCCTACGTATTCCTATGTCAAACGGCCCAACCCTACTCCCGGGGGTCATGATTTGAACAAATTTTAATCTACACTTTATGTCATTCTGCAGATGCTTCCTTATATGACTACTGTAAATCACTTTTTATTCGCAAGAACTTTATTTTCGCGAGACAGTGAGCTCGCGAAAATTTCATTCTCGCGTATAATAGTATTCCTTAAGATTATATAGACCCTAACAAAAAAGTACTATAGTTAACTATAATTTACTATAGTTAACTATAGTTTACTATAGTTAACTATAGTATCAAAGTTTTTTCACTATAGTAAATCGCAGTATTTTTACTATGGATTTCAGATCGTTATATTTTTTGTTCTTCAATTCATACATGCACATTTTTTATATTACATTGAAATATTATTTGTATATTCACACATTATTTCCAAATTTTACATTACTGTTATCGAATTTTAGAGATTTTAAGCTTTGAAATCTCAAAAACAGTTCCAGAGTAAAGTTTCATAGTAAATCAAAGTATCAAAGTTTTCACTATAGTTAACTATAGTAAACTATAGTTAACTATAGTAAATTTTTGTTAGGGGAGGAATAACAATAATTCGTGAAAATTGTCTCGCTAATAAAGAATCAATGACTATCTCGCAAAATAAGGTGTCGCGAAAATTTAGTGATCTACGTATTCCTATGTAAAACTTTAATTCCCTATTGTGGCCCCACCCTACTCCCGGGGGTCATGATTTGAATAAACTATAATCTTCACTATCTGCAGATGCTTCCTTATAACTATGGCTAATCATGGCTTTGCTGTTCATTCTTGAGATTTTTTTTACAGATTTTTCCTACGTATTTCTTATGTAAAACTTGAATTGCCCATTGTGACCCCACCCTAATTCCGGGGGTCATGATTTAAATAAATTTTAATCTACACTATCTTCAGATGCTTGCTTATAAAGATGACTAATCAAGGCTTTACTGTTCCTGGGAAAAAAGATATGTTAAGACTTTCCCTATATATAACTATGTTCAACCATTACTGCACCACCCTACCCCAAGGGGTCATGATCAACAATCTTGAATCTACACTACCTGAGGATGCTTCTGTATTGGTATAACTCATTATGGTTTTGCTGTTCTTGAAAAGATTTTTTTTCTTATATCATCCTATTTTTAGCTTTGATCCCCTGTTGTGGTCCCGTCATACCCTAAGAGGTCATGATTTGAACAAATTTGAATCTATAATACCCGAGGATGCTTCTGTATTTTGAGAAGTTTTTTTTTTTTTTTTTTTTTTTTTTTTTTTTACATATTTTTTTCATACCTATTCCTATGTAAACTTTGATCCCCTGTTGCATGAGGCCCCGCCCCACCCCAGGGGTCATGATTTGAACAATCTTAAATTTACACTTGACGATGCTTCAATATCAATATGATTAATTATGGCTTTGCTGTTCTTGAGATAATTTTTTTTTAAAGATTTTATTTTACAGACTTTTCTGCGTTGATGAAATTATTTTTTTATTGACCAAAAAAGAGAATAGTATACCGGTGTTTATTTGAATTTAAACAATGATGGAAACTAAATTACATTGTATATTTGCTAATCATTTTGAAGTTCATTTTTAACCTAGAAAATTTGACATATCAATCCAAATTTTATTTTGTTTTGAATTGTTTTAAAGAATTAATGCGGCAAATGATTATAAAGATATGCCCATTCGTTCAGATTTCGCATTTCGTGCTGCGTGTCGTTAATTATCAGATATGATTCAGCTAATTTTATCACAGAGTGATGCCCACTACGATCCATATTTTACTACAAATTATTAAGCACTGATGAAGACTAAAGGTATTCATAAAAATGATAATCTAAAATATGCATGAACGAGAGGCGATCAAAAAGTTCGCAAATTATCTGTGTGTCTATATATAAACACAACTCTGATCAGAAGAAATAATGAGAAAATTTTGCATATATATAGATAGTTTTTAGTAGGTCCAAATTAGCAAGAGTTATTCCCGTTGGCCGCCATATTGGAGGTCAACATGCTCATTGTCATGTTCCTTCATTATTCAACCAACTTAACTTTTTATACTGGCCATTGTGGGGTAGCTAGGAAGCATTGTTTTTCTCAAAAAATATACATTTGTAAAAGCCTCCTTTATTTCATTATTTTTATTCTATAAAGATTTTTCCCCAAATATTTCTGCTACAACCTCTTAGATTTGGTAAGACAAAGAGGAAAAATTACCAGGTTGTCCACCAAGATGGCGGCCAAGGGAAATAACTCCGAGAGAAAACTATCTATTGTTGTAAACACGTTCTATAAATAACGTGTTAATTTTTGCTCCATGTTTATGACGTCACGATGTGAAGATGACGTCAATATGTAGAAGACGTATGACAAAAATGGTTGACTCAGTCGTACTCGAGCAAGGAACAGCTGTAGAGTTTTACTTGAATCTCGGAAAATCCTTTACGGTAATATATGATGATTTGTACAAGGTTATGGCTTTTCCAAAATTTTAATTAGTAATTGGATGGATTGTTTAGTGAGGGAAGGGAGATGCTTAAAAATGATGTTCGTTCTGGGTGCCTAGTGAAAGTGAGCTGGGAAAGAGAGGCGTTTTTAGTTCAATTTGTGATTAAAAAATCGCCGAGTCACAGTTAGAAAAGTATTTCAATATCTTAACAATAAAATAATTATTAATCACCACAAATTTCTTTTACTTTAGACTGTTAACAGGTCAAATGAAATATGATAAAGGGGAAAGCGCCCACGCTTGATCCACATTGAATACATGTACACAACGCATCCAAGACAGAGCCTGAGAGGAGTCGGGTTGTTGTGAGGTCTGTGGCTACATACTGACTAGCTTAAATTTATATTCTTTTATTGTATTACATTATAAACAGTACTCTGTAATAGGTCTGTCCATAGGTCAGTTTGTCTTTATCACTCTATTTACTGTTTGGTTTCTTTCAGTATTCCCATTTTTTTCTGTTTACATATATAAACATTAAAGTCTGTTAAATAATATTCCAGTTAAAGTCGGTCCACAGTAGTAAGGGGGGTAGTCTGGGGTCTATTTGGGGTCAATGACGTCATGGGTCCGTCTGGGGTCACCCTAATAACATGGGTCCGTCTGGGGTCAATGACGTCATGGGTCCGTCTGGGGTCACCCTAATAACATGGGTTTGTCTGGGGTCACCTGACGTCATGGTTCCGTCTGGAGTCACCTGACATCATGGGTCCGTCTGGGGTCATCCCAAAAGCATGGACCCGTTTGGACCCACCACTATTAATTATTCCTTTTTTTAACCTTGTATTTTTTCAATAAGGATACCTACGACACATCTTATCTTTTTTTTTGTATAAAAGTCCAAGATTACGATACATTTATCTCATACACCTTTTGGAATCAAAAAAGAGCAGAGTCTCCTCTCGTAGTAAGTCAAATATTGTAACTTATGTTATATTTCTTATGCCTCATCATTATCACCAAGAAAAAGGACACTAAAGATCAACGTTTTTTTTTTTTTTTTTTTTTTATTATTTTACATAAAATGTCGTGTAAAAGCATTTTGTATATATAAAAGTTATATGAACACAATCCGTGTTATTAGAAAACCCCTATTTTTAAGAAGTTTAAGTTAATAACATAAAAAATAAATCTAGAACATAACTAGTTTTTATCTATAGTTTAAAAACCTGAACACAAATATGTGATTATTGTTTGGTTAACTAGTATAAAACATAAAGGGGTAAAATGAACACATTTTTGTGTAATCATAGATAAACAAACTTTAATTATATCTAATCTATGTCATATCTATCTATAAAAAAATATAAAGTATAAATTGACATATAAAATAGAGCTCATTATGAAAGATCATTTAAAAAAATTATTTAAAAAATTTATAAATCCCTATTTATTCTTTTTTTTTTCACAAACATAATGAACAGTATTTAATTACACCCTGTACAGTAAGAATATGGTTGAATTTTATTTTATGAAGGTCCTATTTGTAATTCACTAACACTGAGGTTTGTAAAAGATCCATTTGGGTACTGTATGTCTAAATTTTCATCCAGTGTATAAATACCCGAGCATTAAAAAAAACTAGTTGGGTTCTATTCAAACACCTAGTGTTTCAATGTTGATATTGAAAATTTTCATGAAGTCCTAAATATAATTCACCAAAATAGAGGTTTGTAACAGGTCCATTCGGATATTGTCCACAAGTTCGTTAAGGGCATTCAAAACCTAGGTGGGTTCTATTCAAACACCTGGTGCACATGTTTCAATGTCAATATTGAAATTTTTTCATGAAGTCCTGAATATAATTCACCAACATAGATGTCTGTAGAAGGTCCATTCGGACATTGTCCACAAGTTCATTTAGGGCATCCAGTTCCTCTTTAAGAGGAAACTGGATGGGTTTATTCCAGAACCCCGGTGCTTCAATCGGCGTAAATCCCGAGGTTTGAGTTTGGGTTGACAGAGGGACGATCGTTGGAGACATTGGGCTGTACGCTGACAGGGGTTGAGTTGACAGAGGGACGTCTGGTGGAGACACTGGACTGCACGCTGGCGGGGATTGGGTTGACAGAGGGACGTCCGGTGGAGACACTGGACTGTACGCTGGCAGGAATTGGGTTGACAGAGGGACGTCCGGTGGAGACACTGGACTGTACGTTGGCGGGGGTTGGGTTGACAGAGGGACGTCCGGTGGAGACACTGGACTGTACGCTGGCGGGGATTGGGTTGACAGAGGGACGTCCGGTGGAGACACTGGACTGTACGCTGGCGGGGATTGAGTTGACAGAGGGACGTCCGGTGGAGACACTGGACTGTACGCTGGCGGGGGTTGAGTTGACAGAGGGACGTCCGGTGGAGACATTGGGCTGTACGCTGGCTGGGGTTGAGTTGGTGTCCATGTCTCTTGGAACATCGTTGTAGATGCGCGTCTCTGGCGTTTCTGGGTGAACGAAGTATCCAGCAAATCTCTAGTACTCATTTTCTTCTCCAGTTTGACATATTTTGAAGGATTTTCCTGTCTGTTTCAAAGAAAGTAACGAAATCTTTTTAAACAACCATATAACAGAATTAAACTTTTTAAAAGATTGTCAAGAAAAATAATTTTAAAAAATATATATACATGTAAGAGTATACATTTGATGTTTTAAGAATTTCAGCTACATTTAATCTGTTCAAGACACTGAATTTTGTTGCATAAAAAAACTCGACACTAGAACATAAATTCAATACCTGAACTTTTTTAACAAAGGGTCTTCTTGTTCCATCTCTTGTGTGAACATCCCCGCTTTTACAGTTTTCTTTGCGAATTTCTTTCTATTCAAAATCATGGAATCCTCAGCGTCTTCAATCTTCCTCTTTTTTGATGAAGGGGATTTGTGGGGGTCCTTCGGAGAATTTCTATTTTTTTTAAATAAAAGGAAGTGAATTTAAAAAAAAAAAGAAAAAGAAATTTATCTTTGGTCAAAAAGGATTCAAAGATGCTAGACGACAGCAGGTAAATTTGAAATATTTTCTGTTTAAATTTAATTTTATTTCTTTATTTTTTGGTTTATCTTCTTTTATAGGGCTTAAAAATCAAAAGCAACAAAAGAAAAGCGTTGAAAGTATAACTTACCCTGAATCAAAAATTAGAGAAAAGTTGTGCCCCAGCTCAATCCACTCCTCTTCGAAATCCTGAAACGTTCTTTCAGGTGAAGAGGTAACATACTCCTGGTTTTTATTGTTATCTCTGGAAAATTCAACAAAGAATGATTGTTTAGGCTTCATTTATGGTCCAAGAAAGATAACCTAAGTTATAAGTTTGTGCACTTTTTTTTTTATTCGCAAATAACTTTGTGATTGTTCTGCTTTATTTATTTAGTTATATTTATTATAAGATATTAAAAAAAAATATCAAAATAAAAAAAATCCATTGAAATTTTCATGAACCTAAATAACAATAATTTTTTAAGTAATTTTATGTTTCACGTATAGGAATAATATCCAATGTATTATCTCAACTTTTATTAATTTGAAAACATTAATCTTAATAAAAAATACAATTAACTATAAACTTTTAAACTTCATTTTACCAAAAAAAAAAAAATAATAATAATAATAATAAATAAATAAATAACGAAATATCGTAATTAAGACATTGATGTTATAATGTAATAACTTACAGAAATTCAAAGAATGACTCTGCCATAATTATCTCTGCTGCTTTCTAACCGTTGCGTTTTTCCAAGTTGAATTTTCACAATGATGCCATTAACGTTTATTCTTCCCTTTTTATATCCCGGGGGTGGGTCTTCTGCGCCTTCTAGTTGCCAGGGGGGGGGGGTTTCTATTTTTATATTATTCTGGTTGGATAAGGGAGGTGTGTTCTAGTTGTCATGGGGGGTATCTATTTTTATTTCTAATTAAGTCGATAATAATGAAGGGGTTGGGGTCCATTGGGTGTGGGGAGGGGTGGGATAAGGGAGGTGTGTTTTCGTTGTCAAGAGGGATCTCTATTTTTATCAGTTCAAGTTTTGTACATTTAAAACTGCCGCGACCTTATTACACGGCTGCGCTTAAAGAATGTCGGTATCACGTGAAACTTAAAGTGTGAACAGATAAGTTAGAGTTATTTAAAAAAAAATATATGAATTCATTAAAAAAAATAATAAAAGTTAGATGAAAAATGTAAATATTTCGCAATGATTCCTTATGTAAAATTGAAACAAATTGGGGAAAATATGGGAGGGGGGGGGGGTTAATTCGAAATTAAATGTACTTTATTTTTTCTTAAATTTTAAAAAGAAACAATGTCACTGAAAACTTGTAGATTGCACAGTATTCTTTTTTTTAATACGATAGTAATATTCACCGTTGTGATAGTTTTAAAAGTATGCAAACAAGTATATAAACATTAATTAACAAAGTTAAACTCATTCTAGGTTTTGAAAATTATAAAAACTAAGAGAGAGAGAGAGAGAGAGAGAGAGTGTGTGTGTGTGTGTGTATTTATTATCATAGTCCAAAATAATAAACGTTTTTCCCTGGTCTTTTAATGATTTGATGGTACGTAAAGTACCAAAATCGTAAAAAAAAAAAAAAAAAGAAGAGGAAAACTTCACATATTTCGGATTGCTATTATCATAGATATGTATTTTTAATCCACATATCTACAGATTTTTTTTTTTACATGTACATGTTCATTTAGATATATCTTATAGTGTCCTCTACAAAAATTCAATTTTTTGTAAAATTGTCATGTACAAATTTTAATTGAAAAAAAATCTAATTTTTGTAGAGGACATTAGGATATCACATTGCATGAGTGACCATCACTGACGAATGTGGTATGAATTTTTTTTTAATTCATTGTTTTAAGAATGTCAATTTGTCCTTAAGGGTATGACCCGATTTGACCTTTAAATACCTGACCGCATTTTTCTTCAACGCTTTGTCTTTAGAAATTATTCATTTTAGTTAACCCTTTTTTTCTAATTGGGGGGTCTTTAATTTGTGTAATTGGAACATATCTGGGTATGAGTCATTTTCGCCCGCTGTGATAAACAATGAAGTACAGTTGTGTATAGAAATATATCGGTCATCACTAAAAATTAGAAATGTCAAGAAAAAAAAAGTTAAACAAATAAGGAAAACAGTTTAAAATGAATTTTGCAGAAATTGTTTATAGAAAATGGGGTATTTAAGGCTGTTACGTTGATATATGCATTATTGCTATATCTAGACTCAGAGTAGCCCGCATCTAACTGTCTAGACAGTTCACTGTCTGTCAGTAAGTTTTTTTCTGAGATTTTTGATTAGTACATTTCATCCTTGTGTCATTTAACGTAAATAAAATAAAGTATTTTTATAGACTCTGTAGCAAACGATGTTACATCTTAAAGGTTCATAAATGAAATATAGATCTAGTTAATCGGATTAATAATGTTAATTAACCCACCTATTTCTTCTGGGAGCGGTAATTATATATATATATATATATATATATATATATATATATATATATATATATATATATATATATATATATATATATATTTCCCCTCATCCAAAGAAAAAAAAAAGCTGATTTGCTGGAATAAAAAAAAAATGTATGTATGATGTATGTATGCATGTATGTATGTACTTGATTTGACCAACATTAGGTTTATTCTCTCTCTGTCTTCTATTAATCTGAAAAAAAGTCAAAAGTTTTATTATATATATATTTTTTGGATACATTTTATAATTATAACCTCTGTTACATAGTATTAGAGGGAAAAAGTGTATAAATTTCGGGTCACCCCGACTAACGTGTCACGTGTCCAGAAGTCCGTGCAAATTTCGCGCAATTTTCAGAGATGATCATGATGGCGAAGAGGATGAGGGTGTTGTGTGTTTTCACACTGTATGCAATGAATTTGCTTGTCAACGGATGTAGGCCTACAAGATGTTGGCCAAAAAGTTTGGTCAATCGGATTATGAACTGTCAACACATTTATTCGAATTGTGTAACCCTGACGATTCCAAACAACTGGGAGAGTGTACGAGAGCTCAGGGTGTCGAGGTGTTCCACGAAAGTAACAGTCGAAGGAGGGTCTATCAATGATATCGATGTTATCAGAGATAGACGTGGAAATTTCTGCAGTGGAACAAAAGGTGCGTTTGTGTACAACTTTGAACAAAATACGGTAATGCTTGTAATCGCGAGAAAGTACATAATTATCATTATTATGCATACAAATTTTAAAAAGAAATTTAAAAAAATGATATGTAGAATTTCAGAATGATGCTATAGAATGGATGAATTCTGGTTTCTTATTAACTAATCATTTCGAGTGACACCTATATTATAATGAAACACTGCTATATCCATCTGTGCAACATGTCACGTGATTCTATGACGTGATCTCTATTTATAGAAAAGATGGAATGACATCTAACTCGGTCATTCTCTCTTTCGGAAAATAGCCGAGTAGTTACGAATGTAACATCTATCCTGTTCCGAAAGGATGGAAACAAATGGCGTCGCCCAGAGTTGTTGTTTAAAAAAAAAATCTACAATGGGCTTACCTGTCAAGTACACTATACTTTCATCCCAAACAAAAAAAAAAAGAAGAAAAAAGAAAGTTTTTCTGTTTGAGCTTAGAAACTTTAGTTAAATTTAAACATTGTAGGTACAAATATGGCACCACGTGTATCAACACCTGTTCTAAAGACAACAGGTAAAGTAAATCTTACAGTTATGTACAATCAGCAGTTCTACATATAGACCTTTGTACAAAAAAAAAAAAAAAAAGAAAGGGAAAAAGTTTGTTTTTTTTTCACCGGCATCAACAAGAAATACTCAGTATTTAGGTTATTTGGTAGTAAGATTAAAAGAAAAGATGTCATCAAACTTTTTGAATAAAAAAATATATAAGACAGTTTGAAACTAGGTTCCATTATAATATACATTTTTGATAATCATTTTAAATAAAATTTTTAGGGAGGAAGGATAGGAAATGAACATTTTTGCAAGAATGGAATTAAAGTATTTCAGAATTCATTGTAGAGTTGCAAACAACAATGAGAGAAGGATCAACACCCCCAACTCCGCCTTCAGAAAAGCATAACAGTCATCCAGATGTATTGGGTTAGTTTAAGACTGTAATTCTTTTTTTTTCCCTTGGAATACTTAATGTTAAAATTGTATTTTTGATAAATCATTTTTTTTTAACTTTTTTTTTTTTACTGGTAAGTAAATTACAAAAAAAGGCAACCTATAATAATTAGGAGGAAAGATGGTGAATTATTTTTTTTTGTAAAAATTTTATATAATCTTGATATTTTTTTTTACCATAGCTGATGGTGTGTATAATGTACATTCAAGACCTCAGAGAAGTTTGTGTGAGCATTTTACTTTTTTTTTTTAATGAAAAAAAAAAATTTTGCATGTTAAAACACATGGTAAGGATACATTTACCTTTTCTTTCTAAAATGCACCCTTTTCAATACAGTTGTATTCTTTAAAAACTAGAAAAAGGTTTACATCAATGTTGATGTTGAAATATTATGAATGATTTATTAACAAAAATAAAATTATGTATTTATAATTGTAGATGATCAGGATCTGGGAGGCATGGAGGAACCAAAAACCATAGGTTAGTTCTTCATCAACCTACGCATGTTGTGCTCTTTTGACACGCAATTTGATTCAATTTAAAATGTTGAGAAAACATGAAAATTTCAAACAAATATATATTTAACAAAAAAAAAATGGAAAAGTGAAGTCTCAATGAAACAATGTGCAAAGTCTGTCTGATGAGAATTTAATGATCTAAGGCATAAGGCATATTCCCAGGCTGATGTAGAAAAGGGTAATATTCAGAAGTTGATACAAGATAATAATCTATTTATTTCTTTTAAAATATGCTTCTTTACATCTTAATAGGTTTCCTTATCTGGGCCCTAATAACAACGCTGACCGTGTTAGTCTTTATTTTGCGACTGCTCGCCCGCATGAATCACAGATGTTGTGCTCACAACATTGCAGAAGCAGCTGACCAACTAGATGCTTGGAGCCATACTACTGTGCAACCAGGAACTGAGACCCACACTACTGTGCAACCAGGAAGTGAGACCCACGCTACTGTGCAACCAGGAACTGAGACCCACGCCACTGTGCAAGCTGGAACCGAGACCCATGCTACTGTGCAACCAGGATCTGAGACTCACGTTACTGTGCAACCTGGAACTGAGACTCGCGCTACTGTGCAACCAGGAACTGAGACCCACACTACTGTGCAACCAGGAAGTGAGACCCACGCTACTGTGCAACCTGGAACTGAGACCCACGCCACTGTGCAAGCTGGAACCGAGACCCATGCTACTGTGCAACCAGGATCTGAGACCCACGTTACTGTGCAACCTGGAACTGAGACTCGCGCTACTGTGCAACCAGGAACTGAGACCCACTCTACTTTGCAACCAGAGACCCCGAAACTAATTCCATTTTTGATGAATCAACACACTCCACCATCTCAAGCTACAACTCCGTCCATTACGCCATCAACCACTTCCTCCACCGCACCATTGTTGCCACCTGAATCCATTTCAGACCGTACTAGGTCAAAGTCAAAGAAAAAACTTGCATTGTAAAAATAGTTACATCAGGGTACTTATTTTTGGATACTTTTCTTGTTTACCAATGATTAGTCAAACTTGGAGCATTTTTCTTTTTGGATTTGCATTATGGTACCTTTGTACTTGTTTGTCACTGGAGAGTAAGACTTGAAGCATTTTTTTTTTTTTTTGCATCATGGTACTTTTGTGTTTTTTTTGTTTGTCAATGGTGAGTAAAACTTGAAGCATTTTTCTTTTTTTGTTGAAGCATTTTTTTTGTTTTGCTTCATGGTACTTTTGTACGTTTCTTGTTTGTCAATGGTTTGACAAATTTTTTTTGTTTTTTTTGTTTTTTTCCTTAAGGGGTATTTCCATGTATGGATTTTTTTTTTAAATCTACGTACATTAAAAAATATAAGTTTTAATGATTGCTCGTGTAGTCAAGAATAATTACACATTTTGTTTATGTGCTTTTAATTTTTCTTTGCATAACATTTAAGGTTAAGATCATTATACATCTACATCTGTATGTTTTAAACTTTTTTTTTTGGAAATCCAAGATACCATGTTTATTTCATTTTTACATGATTGAAAAAAAATGATATTGTACAAGGATGTTCTTCTTTATACCTGTATTTACTTTTTTTTTTTCAATTTCATTTCAAATACTTATGCATGTATGTGATTTTATGTTTTTAGAAAAAAAACACAGGGTTTTTTTTTATAACCTTCGGTAAATTTTCACATGTTTTAAACACGCCCAAGTATTTTTTTATATATGTGATTCAACTAGTCATGTTGATATTTTATAAGGGTGTTTTACTTTAAATGTTTTGATGGAATTTCATCCATATTAAACAGTTTTGAATGATTTCAGACTTCTTTTTTTTTTTTAAAGAAAAAACAAACTTGTACATCTTTTTCATTATTATATCCTCAAGCAAAAGACACTGTTTGTAATACACACAAATACACACAGGTGTAATCAAGTTTAGTAATCCCAAGTATAGTTTAGTACATGGGCATACAAAACTTGATTACACCTGTGTATATTACAAGCAATGTCTTCTGGTTGAGAATATATTAATAAAAAAAATTTTACAAGTAATAATGAATGATGTGAAATTCAAATTGATAGCACCAAAAATAGATCTGGCTTATTTTGTTTTAATGTTTAAAGTTAATGGTTGCAATTTTTAATTTCAATTGAAGAAAAAATGGCTGAAGACGGTCTCTTGAAAGAAATTTTGGAGTCCTTGAACGATGCAGACACCATTAATTTGTTTGCTGAAGTCCATGGTCTAACGGGTAATGTCGATGTCGAAAACCGATTAAAGGAAATCAATTGGAAACAACATGTTGACAGTTTATGGGAAGAGCTGCTTCTTGATCTGGAACCCTCTTCAAAGAGAGCAAGGCCATCACTTGATGACGCACCATTAACTAGCGTTCAGACCGGGGGTGGAAAGGAAAATACAAAGGTTGAGAAACCTTACTTCATATGGAAGAAAGATACCCGGACCTTCAAAAAGAATCTGGCTCGCGACACAAGTTATAAGGTTAAATTCAATGATGAGTGGCAAGGGGACAGATTAATAGATATTTATGACAAATTACATGATATGTTTGATGACGTGTTGTCCCAGGCTAGAGGACACGATGCTGATCTAGGTCGAGTGGTACTCAGTCACCCCAATTTAAACAACCCCATTGTCGTCCCATTACAATCATGGGAAAACCTAAATTCTGATACAGTGATGTCTGAAATTACGAAGGTTCTAAACTCCAACGAAACAATTCCTGTTGACGAGCATTTACTCGTCACTGTAGGATCAATCGATTTGCCAAAGGGTGGGAGTTGGAGTGGAAATAAATTATCGGTAACGTCGCTCTTTGGACCTAATAATACTCTGAAGAGAAAGAAATCGGTCTTGTACGTTGAAAATGACAACAATCTCTGTTTACCCATCGCCATAGGTCTATGTTTCATGAAGACCTGTAAAAAGGTAGACGCTCCGACGTGGTCGCGTTTAGTCGGAAACGACTCGGAGGCGGCCATTATGAGTCATGTGATTCAACACAAAACCGTTCCCAAACACTATTACGGTAACCTGCTTAAAAAATCACGTAAGAAATACCAGACCGAAATGGCCATTTGGCTGTGTGAAAAAGCAGATGTACCTGTCAACAGATATTTGGGTCTGAATGATATCGAACCCTTCGAAACCCTGCTGAATGCGAGTATCAATGTGGTGTCGTCCCGTGTGGGTAACAAATTTGTCCGTGTTACAAAAGGAGATATGGAAAGAACTTCTCTATACTTGTATCACGTAGAAACAGAAAATGAGAAACATTGGCATGGTATTGGAAATATACAAGGGTTCTTCAATACCAGTTACTTTTGTCATTCGTGTTTGAAACCCTATAAAAACAAATATGCACATACTTGTGCGACTTCATGTGACGTGTGTCTGCACGATAACTGTCCCGAGTCGGAAGTGCAGGTAGGATGTCCATCTTGCGGTCGTGTCTGTCGTTCACTGACCTGCTTTGAAAGACATAAAGTCGAGAAAATGGTAAGAAAAGACAAGCTGCCCCCTGCCTGTCAACTGTGGCATCAGTGTAAGAAATGTCGCGTTAAACTGTCGGTTGCTAAACGCAATCCTAAACTACACGCCTGTGGCGAGTGGCAATGTCCTAGCTGTTACGAATACTACGTAGGGGAACACTTCTGTTATCAAAAGTCCTCTCAATCCGATCCTGAGGAACGAGAGAAAAAAAAATTCATTTTCTATGACTTTGAAACACGTCAAGATGATATTTTTCAATGCGAACAGGGTTACACTCCTTCTCGTATTAGATGTCGAGAATGTGTTGTCAAAGAACGTCAATGTGTAGATTGTAGGCTCTGTCGGTATTGTGAGGATCCGTCTTGTGGGCTACAACAACATAAAGTAAATTTTGCTGTACTACAAACGTCCTGTCATGTCTGCGAACAGAAAGAATTAAACGAAGATTCTAAATGTAACGAGTGTGGTGTACGCTGTGTCAGGTGCTGTCAAATGAAGAAATCAAAGTTCGTGGGCCCCCCCTGTCCAGATACTTGCGGTCACCGGGAACTGATCTTTCGTGGCGAAAACGCGGCACAACAGTTATGTGCCCACGTGACTCAACCTCATTTGAAAAACACCATTTTAATTGCTCATAATGCCAAAAGCTTTGACTTGTATCCAATTTTAGAGGTTCTCATCGACCGACATTCGATTCGGCCAGATAAAATCATTTATAATGGATCCAAAATAATGTACATGCACATCGCCAACAAACTTAATCTCACGTTTTTGGATTCGTTAAATTTCCTCCCCATGAAATTGGCAAAGATTCCAGAAGCGTTTGGTCTACAGGAACCCAGCAAGGGGTTCTTCCCGCATTTTTTTAATACTAAAGAAAACCAAACTTACGTGGGCCCTTATCCAGCTCTGGAATTCTACGGATACAATTTCATGTCGACAGGGGAGCGAAAGAAGTTAGCCAGTTGGCATGCAAGCAAGAGTTCCGAAGTATTTAACTTTCAAAAAGAAATGTTGAAGTACTGTCGATCAGACGTCGACATTTTAAGAAGGGGTTGTATAGCGTTTCGAAATACGGTACTTCAAGTCACAACAATTGAAAATTCACATGTTCAACCTGATGGTAGTATTTCAAAGACTACCATCGACGGTGTAGACCCATTTGACTATGTAACGATTGCCAGTGTATGTATGGGCATTTACAAAACTTTATTTCTCAAGCACAATATTGAAGTTGAAATCACCAAAGACCAGACATCCACTTGGCACACAATGGACGATTTTGAGGGTGTAAAGGGGATATGGCTTGAAGGAAAATGGGTAGCTCTCAGTGACCTGGAAATGGAAGACAATATTGAAGTGGGAAAACGACAGTTAAAGAGTCCCATAGGTGTAGTACCTTCTCAGGGATACGTCAGCAAAGAGAATTTTAGTAAAATCTCTATTCAATGGTTAGAATGGCTTATGCATCGAAGTCGACAACGTGGAACACCTGTACATATTCAACACGCTCTAAATGGGGGAGAACATCATGTGCCTGGCACCAATTACCATTGTGACGGTTTTATTGCGAATCCTAACGGGAAAGGCACCATATACGAATTTTATGGTAAGACATTTTATTTTATGTAACAAACTTTGGTACCGAATTTGCCCCTCCCTTTCCCCTAACGGAGGGGAGGGGGGCGGCGGCGGCAAATCTTACCTTGAAATATTTTTTTTAATTAAATGTTACGTGTATTTCTTTTTTAAAATAAGGTTGTGTGTACCATGGGTGTCCGGATTGTTTCCAACAGGATCGATCTGATGTCAAGCACCCCGCAACAAACCAGACGCTAGACGAACTCTTCAAAATGACGAAAAAGCGAGAACGAGAACTCAAAGAGCTTGGATACGATCTGATCGTCGTATGGGAGCACCAGTTTCGATATCAGTTGGATAAAAATATTGAATTGCAGCAATTCGTTTCCACATTGGATCTGCAAGACAGGCTTGACCCCCGTGAGAGTTTCTTTGGTGGCCGGACCAATGCTGTTAAACTTCATTATAAAGCGAAAGAAGACGAAATTATTCAGTATTACGATTTCACAAGTCTCTACCCGTGGACAAACAAGTATTGTCGTTATCCTGTAGGTCATCCGACCATTATCACGGATGGTTTTCAGGACATATCCAATTACTTTGGTCTCGCCAAAATTAAAGTCCTTCCACCAAGAAAATTGTATCACCCCGTGCTTCCGTACCGATCCCAAGGTAAACTGAAATTTCCGTTGTGTCGAACATGTGCGGACGCTGAAAATCAATTTGACTGTACTTGTTCTCAAGAGGAAAGAGCCATCACGGGCACGTGGTGTACTCCTGAAATTCAAATGGCAGTAAAGAAAGGGTACAAAATTGTGAAAATGTATGAAGTTTATCATTTTGAGCAATCGTCTCAATATGACCCCACATCGGGTAAGGGGGGTCTGTTTGCGGATTACGTCAATATGTTTCTTAAAATTAAGCAAGAAGCCTCGGGATTTCCGACCGAGTGTGACAGTGAAGAGTCGAAACTTGAATACATCCGAAAATATAAAGAAAAAGAGGGTATAGATTTAAAGTATGAAAAAATTCAGAAAAACCCAGGTTTACGTTGTTTAGCCAAACTCTGTCTCAATAGTTTTTGGGGGAAATTCGGTCAGAGGCTCAGCATGAAACAATCCATGTTCTTTCACGAGTCCGAATCTGCAAAGTTTTTTCAGATTCTCTCAGATCCAACTAAAATCCCTCAAAACTTTCATATTGTTTCCAGGGACACCCTTCAATTTGAATGGAGTAATCACCCCTTGTTCATGCCCCCTGATTGTAAAACAAATATATTTTTGGCAAGTTTCACTACTGCGCATGCGCGTTTGCGCTTATTCAGTGTACTAGATCAGTTAGGGGAAAACGTGCTTTACTTTGATACAGATAGTGTGATTTTTAAAACCCCCAAGTATGACGATCTGCATTACTTACCTGTAGGAAATTATTTAGGGGAATTGACTAACGAGATCACACCAGAAGAGGGTTATATTGTAGAATTCGTATCGGGGGGTCCAAAAAATTACGCTTACCGTACGCTTTCGGGTAGGGAAGAATGTAAAGT